AACAGAGAAGCAGGAAGGAAAAGAAACTGTAGAGAAAAGCTCACAAGGCAGCTCTGAAAGATGTGTCAAAAATAATGAAGGAAACACTATAAATGAGGAACACGGAGACAGATGGAATAATTCTGATGATACCACGGTCACACTGGTAAGACTCTTAGTCCTTTCTTCATTGTTGCTAAAACATATTACAAAACACCCGTGTTGGACATTTATGTATTACAGAGGAGGAGAAATAGATTCATCATGTTATACTTTGCTTTTTCCATCGCAGCTTAATTATCAGCTGGTCCAGATGGACAACACTGAGAAGTAAGTTTTTGTCTTAAACAATTTTCTATTTTTGCAAATAGCAGGGGTGTGCTGACATCTGCCTTTTGCAAGAAGGGATCCTGCAGCATCCTTAGCACCCCTGCTTCCCATGGCCTTGTATGAATATGGTATTTATAGCAGAAACTTACACCATCATCACTGTGAAACATGGTGGTGGCAGAGCCTTTTTTTAGGGAAAGATTTTCTTCAGCAGGGAAAGGGAGGGTTGTTAGAGTTGATGGGCAGATGGATGGAGCTAAATAAAGATGCAAAAGACTTCACCGTCCAGCATTCACCCAGAGCTACAAAGAGATGGTTTAGATCAGCCATTCCCAAAGTCAAGAGTGCTGAGGCCGACTTAAAAAACAAACAAACAAAAAACAGAACATCTCATGTTGGGCCTCAGTCTTAAAGCTTCAGTCCAATCAAAATAAAAAAAAAAGAAAAATTATGTATTTGCTGAAAAAATGTATTAGAAATTTAGGTTAGAATAGCAACCATGCTACCAGTTTAAATTCTGTTTTTATATAAATAGATGTACATAAATATGTAACAGTACATACTTTTTTGGAACTGTAACTTCAAACTGAATTTGTGTTTGGCCCACCTGCAGTACCTTGGCAGTCCACCAGGAGGCCTCGGCCCACACAGGTTTAGGTTTCGATCAGGGGTAGGCAACTCCAGGCTTTGAGGGCCGGTGTCCTGCAGGTTTTAGATCTCACCCTGGGTCAACACACCTGAATCAAATGATTAGTTCATTACCAGGCCTCTGGAGAACTTCAAGATATGCTGAGGAGGTAATTTAGCCATTTAAATCAGCTGTGTTGGACCAAGGACACACCTCAAAGCTGCAGCACACCGGCCCTCGAGGCCTGGAGTTGCCCACCCCTGGTTTAGATCAAAGCATGTTCATGGTTTAGAATAGCCCACTCAAAGTCCAGACCTAAATATTATTGAGAATCTGTGGCAAAACCTAAAGACTGCTGTTCACAGTTGCTCTGCTCCCCATTTAATCTGACTGAACTGGACCCATTTTGCAGGCTGTAGATGTACAAAGCCCCCAAAATCTTGCAGGTCTGACTGCAGTGACAGGGGGTTTAGCAAAGTTTTGAACCACAAGTGTTAAATGAAAATGAATGCCACACTTTTCAAATTTATATTTGTAAAACCTTTTCAACATATTGTATCATTTTCATTCGACTTCTCAATAATGTGATACTTTGTGTTAGACTGTGACATAAAATCTCAATCATTTTATAAGTTTATGACTGTCAGGTGAGAAAGGGTAGAAAATTTCTAGGGGTATGAATACTTTTCAAACCATTGTATTGAAGCTTGAGCTCCATATTTTGATTTATTTGAAAGTTAAATTAATTTCTTTTCCCCATCAGAGCCGACACTCAACTTCTAGAAAATGTCAAGAGTCATAAGAATGCAGATCAAGCTAACCTGGAAGTCAATGACAACCCTGCTGTACATGGTCATCTTAACAAACAAGATGTGATGAATGATGGACAGAAGGAACTGATGGACTTCAGACCAGAGACGGATAAACAGACTGACAACAAATGGGTGTCCCTGACAGCAGACCATAAAAGCGACACAGATTATCAGGGTAGTGAAGGATCAGGCGATTCTAGAAAGGATACTGGAGAATATGGGGGAGGTAGACAAAATATTGGAAATGATGACAGCTCTAAATCTATAAGTGTCGAAGCTGATAACGTAACGACAGGACAAAGAAACCTGTTAACTAGATATGACCTCTTTCATGGATCTCAGGACACCCAAACAGGCAGTGACAGAATACAAATCATACCCAAAGATAATCAGATGAGTGAACAGAGGCGCATTAGCAGGTTTCTTAATGAACCAATAGAAGAAGA